GACATCCTGTTATCACGGCTAGAATTTCATGCTGGCCTAAAAGGATCTGCCCTACAGTGGTTTTGGTCCTACTTGTCAGAAAGGTCTTTTCATGTCAATACGGGCCCCCACAACTCCAAAATAGCCCCTCTTAAATACAGTGTACCTCAAGGCTCTATTTTGGGTCCTGCCCTGTTCGCACTCTATCTGTTGCCATTGGGCTCCATCTTCTCGCGGTACAGCATTTCATTTCAATGTTTTGCTGATGATTTGCAAGTTTATCTACCTTTAAAAGCAGGGTCAGACCATCCCCAGCTCTTATTACGCTGCCTTGACGATGACAAACAGTGGTTGGCATAAAAAACCTCGGTGTCTACTTTGATGGTTCTTTTAAATTGAATAAGCAGGTAAGTGCAGAAGTTCAGTCCTGCTTCTTTCAGTTAAGACAGCTAGCCAAGGTAAAGACATACCTCCCGGCTAACGTCTTTGAACGTGTTATTAACCTTTTCCTTACTGGCAGATTAGACTACTGCAATTCATTGTATTATGGTCTAGATCAGGCCTCCATCCATCGTCTTCAGATGGTTCAAAATGCAGCTGCTCGCCTGCTAACTGGTACCAAACGGAGAGAGCATATAACCCCAGTTTTGGCTTCTTTACACTGGCTTCCTGTCTCTTATGGGATCCAATTTAAACTTTTATTTTTTGTTTTTAAGTCACTTAACGCCCGAGCTCCTCCTTACCTGTCTGAGCTCCTCTCTGCTTATGCTCCAGGAAAAACCATGACGTGTAGCCCAAAATTAATGCAGTCCATCCCACGGACTTATCTCAAATCTCGTGGTGATAGATCCTTCTCTGTGGCAGGTCCCAGACTTTGGAATAGTCTCCCCCTAAATATTAGATCTGCACAAACACTTGAGCAATTTAAATCATTACTAAAGACACATTTTTATGCCCTGGCTTTTGACACACTATGGCGCAAGCATTTTGGTCTTATTGGAAATAGTTTTAGTTATTGTTTTAATTCTTTCATTGTCCTATTATTGTTTTATATTGTTATTACTGGATTACATTGTTGCTTCTTAATGCCATTTTTATATTTTTAAGCACTTTGTGCAGCATCGGCTGTTTGAAATGTGCTATATAAATAAACTTGACCTTGACCTTTCTTTGAAATTTTAAGATTACAGCCATTGCTCCTATTACACCACCCTACCTTACATTCTGAAAGATTGAGCTTCTCTGGGAGGCTCTTTTAATACTATCCAGCTCCCTTCAGGGCTCGCCACAGAAGATCATCTGCCTCCATCTCACCCTAGCATTCTTTTCTGTCACACCAGCCCTCTCCATATCCTCCTTCACTACATCCACAAATATTCTCTCAGATCTTCCTCTTTTCCTCCTGCCTGGCAGCTCAATATTCAGCATCCCTTGTCCAATATGTGACTAACCCTCCTCTACACATGTCCAAACCATCTCAACCTTGCCGCTCTAACCCTCTGATGTATATATATTTCCTCTTTCACCTCAATTTTTTTTGTCAGTGCTGCCATCTCCAAGCTAGTAATGAAACTAACTAGTTATGCAATCTACAGCTTTTCAGTTATGTTTATTGCATTCAGGCTTTTACACACCTGTCTAGCCCTTTGGAAACAAGGTTGTATATCCAAACATGAATTTTGCCTTTTTATAGAAAGCAGTTTAAAAAGAAGTCAAAGCAGTTGAGTTAAATCCAAGTCTTGTTTTAGTAAATCCAATCATTTGATCCTCTTTGTTGCCTGGCTTTTTGCTTTTTTTGCTTTTGTCTGTTTTCAGGCTTATCTGACTGGGTGGCTACTCAGTGATACGTTTTCTTTCATGGTCTTAAATGTGAGTAATGAGGGGGATCATCATTCCCGTGTAATGGTCGTAGATTTGATTAACAACGGGAGAGGAGATTGAGCCATCGATCAGCGTGACGAACCCGAGAGTTTGATCCCTTTTGTTGTACTTGATTGATCAGAGGTCAGCGGGGATTCGCCCTAATTGAGGAATAAACACGTCACGCTGTTAACTCTGAGTCACTGTCCAAACACTGGCAGAGTTTTTTGTGAAAACGTCCGCGTTAACAGGCAGCTTTTGAAAACGCGCTTCATTTGCGTCACGGCTCGGTTGTTCGTTTGCTCTCCAGCGACTGGCCTCATACTGATAACGCATGACGTGGGACAAAGGTGACAAGACATCATGATCGGATAATTTTATTTGGTCCAGCGAATAAAACGGTGGCACCGAAGGGCGAGTGGTGTAATACTAAATACGTGAAAGTTATTCTCTTCAATACATTTGAACGTCTTTTAACACATGCGGTCAATCTGTCGTAAAACGTGCATTACAGCATGTCTGAATTAACTTTTCAAATGAACAGGAGCGTCTTGTAAACTACAGTAAGCCGGACAAATTAGTGGTGTGTTTATTTTTCTTTACAGCTGGATCTCTGCTTGATTCCACCCATACTTTTGTGTATTTGTTTTTTTGTGTTTTGTCATCAGTCATGGTCCAATCACCTCTTACTGTTTGCTAAATACAAGGGCACCCCCTCATTTATTACCTACCCTCACACAGGTGTAGAGCTCAGTCCAGTCTGGAGATGACGGCACGAGCTCCGCGCCTCTGCCTCCTCGCTCTCCTGCTGCTAAGATGCGTCACCCCGCTGGCGATCCCGCAGGACGGTTTGGGCGCGACGAAAATGGCCAGGCAGAAGCTGGATCGTCTCTTCTATCTTAAGGATATCCCCAGACCAGCGGTGGCTCCTCAGAAGAAGGCTCCTCAGTTCATGCTGGATCTTTTTAACGTGGTTTCTGTCACGGATGGGACCCCGAAAAGCCAGACGGACATTCTGGAAGGAAACACGGTGCGGAGTTTCAGCGATAAAGGTGAGAAGCAACAGTAGCGGCTGTTCCGCGAGAATATCTTCCAATGAGTTTGCATCTAGGGCGCACAAAAATAAGAAGTAGTATGCGTATAAGTGCGTAAAGACGCAATCGCGCACGGCTATGTGTCTGTTTAAAAGCCTGCGCTTTTCCAGTGTATGGTTTCATCATTTCTCTAAATATTTTTATATTGTTTTGTCGTCTGCAGGACAACCTGGAGAGAGTTTTCACTTCTTCAACTTGTCATCTTTCGGCAGAGATGAGAGAATGATCAAAGCGCAGTTCCGCTGGTTCCGAAAGAAAAGGAAGTTTTATCCCGGAAGCTTTCACACGCCTCATTTCTACAAAGTAAATGCTTCTTGTTTGCTTGCTTTTAAAGACAAATCATTTTCACTTTTTTCTTATATTGTACAGGAAACATTGTGGCAATATTTTGGCGCACTAACTACTAAGTGTACTCGCCCGGTTTCTTTGTCTGCAGCATTTGATAATCGTGGGCCTTTAACAGGGATTCTGACGTTTTTGAAAACAAATAGTGATAGTTTCTGTTTGTTTGTTGGTGGTGGGGTTTTTTCCTCTCTTTTTTTGTCTCCAGGTGGCTCTGTATGAGGTGCTGGAGAACCTTGTGAAGCCGTGGCGAGGAAACCTCATCACCTCCAGATTGGTTCCACTATACACACAAGGATGGGAAGTCTTCAATGTCACTCAAATAGTAAAAAAAAAAAAAAATCCATAACTTCATTTTCTTTGTTTAAAATGAATGTTTGAGGCTTGTTGTGAGAAAATAATTCCTTTTAAGTTAAATCATTGGTCATTATTTCAAAAGTCAGATGATGAATTCCAAATAAAAACGTCTCATAATGATGACGATCATGGTTTGTGTTAGATTGGAGGGATGATGTCATGCTTGTTTTAAATGTCAGGTATCCAAGTGGATCCAGAACAGTCAGGAGGACAACGGCATCCTGGTGGTGACTACACTTTCTTCCGGTAACTGGCTGGAGTCGGTGTTGCATTCATCTAAACAGAATGTAGAGCTGACAGACACAAGCGCCTACCTGGTCATATTCTCACACGACAAACAGACAGGAGCATCAAACCAGTCATACTTTGGTAAGGTGGTGAGAGAGATGTGGGCATGTTGCACAGTGTGACCTTTCCTCTGTTATAACAGTGATTGATTTAGGCAGGCAAGATGATTTTGCCATTTTTAACTTAATAAGAAACTCTAAGCAAATTGCAAGTGGAATATTTGGACTCCTGCAACTCATCTGGGCTTTGGTTTCATGCTTGGTGGGGGTTTTTCGTTTGTTTTTGTCTTTTAGACTTGGGCTAATCAAGTCTCAGGGCAGATGATCACCATGAAAGAAAAAAAGTGAGGCATCTACACATCTCATGCTAGTCTGCTTAGCACCAGTTGACCGATCAATACAGTTTGTTCACTTAACCCGTCTCTTGACTGTGTGCTGTTCATGTGGATCCATTTTAATGCAGTTACAGTACGTTATACATAATACGGCTTAGTTTTTATCAATGAGTAAAGTTCTAGCATTATGTCATTTAAATGCCAAAGTGAGATTTGAGTGAGTTTGAGGACGAGTAAATGGTGATCGTTAGACGACCGGGTCTAATCCTCAGCAGTTTTGTTTTCTGCAGTGGTCAGTATCTATTAAAAGTGGTCCAAAGAAGGAACCAGCGACAGGGTCGTGAGAGATGAAGGCTCACTGATGCACATGGGGAGTGAAGGTTAGACGGTGTGGTTGATCCAACACATGAGCCACTGTAGCTCAAATTGCTGAAAAATTTAATGCTGGTTTTGTCAGAATACACATGCCATGCTGACCCCTGTCCACCGTCAAAAGCACCAACAATGGGCATGCAAGCATCAGAACTGGACTATGGTGAATGGAAGAAGGTGGCCCGGTCTGATGAATTACGTTTTTTTTTTACATCACTTGGATGGCAGGGTGCGTGTGACTCTTACCCAGGGAACCCTATGCTCTATGGGAAGAAGGCAACCCAGCATAGGCAATGTGATGTTTTGTTCTGCTAGGAAGCCTTTGTTTCTGCCATCTATGTGGATGTTACCTTGACATGTCCCACCTACTTAAGAATTGCTGGAGACCATGTACACCCTTTCATGGAAACAATATTCCCTGATTGCTCTGGTTTCTTTCAGCTGCGTCAAAGCAATAACGGATCAGGAATGGTTTGAGGAGCACAACAACAAGTTTGACCTCAAAATTCCCCAGATATGAATCCAATCGTGTGTCTGGGGTGTGCTGGACAAACTAGTCTAAACCATGGAGGCCACACCTCCATGCTCACAGGACTTAAAAGGATCTGTTGCTAACATGTTGGTGCTGATACCACAGCACACCTTCAGGGGTCTAGTGGCTGTTTTGGTAGCAGACTAACTGACTCAATATTAGGCAGGTGATCGAAATGTAAAAATGGTCATAATTTTCTATCCTACCCTCATCACAGGACAAGCCCAACCTGAACCGGCTGCCCCCGAGCACCGCAGCAGAAGGCCTCGTGCATCTTCCAGTGTCATGCCCCTCGACAGCTCCCAGCACTGCCAGCGCATTTCTCTGTTTGTTGACTTCGAGGAGATCGGCTGGTCGGGCTGGATCATCTCTCCCCGTGGATACAATGCCTATCACTGTACGGGCTCCTGTCCGTTCCCGCTGGGGGTAGGCATCAGGGCGACCAACCACGCCACAGTGCGTTCTATCATGCACGCACTCAAGGTTACTAGCGATGAGGTGGAAGCGCCCTGCTGCGTGCCGGACACGCTCCAGTCTATGAGTCTGTTGTATTTTGACGATGAGGAGAATGTGGTTTTAAAGCAGTATGACGACATGATGGCGTTAAGCTGTGGTTGTCATTAGCTGCCTGTGAGTCTCCTGGATTCTTTAACACTGGTCAACACATGGGCATGAAACAGTGAGGGTTAAGTTCCTGTGTTTTTGATGGTATTCACTGAGGTACTGAAAGAGCTATTTCATAGCTACTCGTCGCTAATCCTTTGACGATGCAAGTCCAATGGCCTGTTGTTGTTCTCCATTTTTTTAAAATATTGTTTATATAGTTTCAATTGTGGCCCAAAGGCCCACTTCAGGTTCTTCTTCTGGAGTGTAATTTGAATGTTTCTGTGACACTGATATGTCCATGGTGCTGAGCCAGCCCATGTGGTCCGTCCTACAAAATCATTACTTTTTATTTGGAATTAAATTTTTATTGTCTCTCAGCGGACTGTGGTAGCTGCCACTAAAATGCTCAAAAATTACAATTAAAGGTGATGTTTTCAAGTATTCATTGTTTTAGTTCAGGAGCACATCAAATTAAAACTATTTTTACATTTAAGCAAAGAACTACTCCAACATTTTAAAGTAACTTAATTTTTTAATTGGCTATTTAAAAAAACACATTTGGATAAACTGATTGAAAATGATTTCCAGGGACTATTATTTATTAAGTACCACATATCAATGTTTTACAAGGGGATTTGGACTGAGTAATGAGTCAGTGTCAAAAGTTTTTTATATATATATATATCTTTCAAAAACACAAATACAAAAATTAAAAAAGTGTGATGTACAAAAAAAAGCTCTGGCTGTTGATTTCAAGGCCAAAAAAAAAAGTAATATGCAAGTTGTTACGAACTGATTCTGTAATGTAAGAAACAATGTTACATGTTTGTGTTTTATTAAAAGCAGGGGGGCTATGCTGAACGAACTGGGGGGAATCAAAAGACCCTGCATTGTGTTTTCAAGTTCTTATAGTATTATATTATATTAGAGCACACAGGAAAGAAAAGAAGCACATCAGTGCCCAGAAACATTCTTGCTATTGTTCGGTGTCTTAGCATAAATTGGTCAGCAGGTAGGTAGGACAGAGGTGAAGCTGGAAGCTGCTAATGTGCTTAAAAAGAATACAAACTAATATTTGATGCTGTATTTAATAAAACAGTTTTAAAGACAACTGCAGTGGTTTTAAATAAAAATTATTTAAATTTGCTTTTTGTAAATTCCAGTGTTTTAGAAACAGTCTACTTAAACTGTCAACAGAAAAACACTTGATTGCACTGTATGTCCAAAACATTTGTGTATTGTGTTAAAGGGAGTCTACAGAAGCTTGTTTCTGCCACTGGAATAAAAAAAATGTCATGCGTAACCTGTAAATGTTGAGCTAGGTATCTCGAGATTTTGAGTATATAAGTTGAAATTTTGAGAAAATAACTCAAAATTCCAAGTTTGCTCTGCCAATCAGAAAACTCTGTAAACGATGTCATCTGCTTCTGGGTGACAAGGAAATGACTTCAAATCCTTCAAAGATCTTCCCAAGTGGCAGAGGCAACTCGAAATTTCAACTTACTAAAACAAAAATTTTAATTATTTTCTCAGAATTTCAAATTATTTATGTGAAATTTCTACTTATTAACTCAAAAAGTTTTTTCCTTTTGTTTATTTTCCCCCCCGCTGGCAGAGATGAGCTTCCATAAGTAACAGAAGCTGAACTATAGCTGGTGCAATACCACTTTGTGCCAAAAGATGGTGCAACAAGTCAATGTAACCTTCATTTAAGCAGGCGAAAGTACTCACTGTTATTTACAAAGGCAGTCTGCGAAAAAGGCTCAGCCCCTCAAGGAAGATTGAGAGAGATTGGGCTAAAAAGAAACTAAAGTTAAACAGCAGCACACTTCGCTGAGGATAATTAGAAAAGGTAGAAGACTGGCTGTTCAGTGGTGCTGCTGTGACTCAGGTCGAAGAGCAGTTCGTCCCCCAAACAGGAAGTCAAAAGATATGTTTGTATGAATCTGTGTGTTACTGATGAATAAAGCTTATTTTAAAAGAACACTTATGGCATTATGTTGCTGGTTCAGCCTGTACTCTAACCATTCACTAATCCAATTTAAAGCAAATACCCATAACAGTAGTTGTTTTCTTTTATTGGAATGCATCACAGACACAAGACAGCCCTGCTTGATTCTACAAACTTGCAAAACAAATTCTCCCTCATATCCTCTCCATACAAAACATGAATTCCAATAATACCAGTTGAAGCTTTCAGACAGTATAAATGCAAACATAATCAAAATGTGGAATTTGGACTTTAGCATGCAAAGGTTTCCAAAATGTTGTGGTATGGAGATAGTTAAAATCAATAAGATTTGGTTCAAGTATATCGAATGATAAATGACTGTATACGTCTGGTGAAAAAGGAACTCTCAAGACAACAAACCTTGCAGGTAGTAAAAGAAATGCTACAATATCTACACAGTTGTGGAGACCCAATACAACTGTAATATATAACAAACTGTCAGCATTTACAATAAATAAACATTTTACAGTGAAGCCCACCCTCTCTGTTTATACTTAAATACATTATGTACATGGAACATCCATGTCCATTTTACTCAAAAATCTTACGCAAACCCTTTCAACCACATTTAAATTAGCACATTCTACATCATTCATCCAATAAGTCATCATCTTTTGTCAGGTTATGCTCATCTAAAAGCCATTCTCTTTTCACAAAGCCATTAATGGCTTCAGTAGCTTTACAAATCCAACACAACTTCAGTGCCTCCTGAAAATTGAAGGCAAGAAAAACAAAACCACAATCACAGATCTAAACTGCAAAAACAGTCAACACTGAAGGGAAAAAAAACGCCCTGAAATATGCATTGGCAATGAACTTTACATTCCTGGGAACATTTGTGGTGCATTTTTCCTCATTCTGTCTGTAACAGGCCAAATGTAGCAGTACAACAAAAAGTATTTACAAGAGCAATTATTTCTTTCTGGGATTGCTGTTTTGTACCAGCGTTCAACAACCAAACAGAGAAAGATCCATCACTACAGTGTTGTTGCTTTTTAATAGTCCTTCTGTCAAATGCCGGTATAGTATAAGAAGGCAAAGTTGGTTGGGAAAGAGTTTTAATGTGTTTAATGTTAATGTGTAATAAAAAAAAAACTCCTGGAATGCAACAAACACCACAATTCAGTGATACAAAACAGCATTCCCTTTAAACCCTCTGGCCCATCAGCTAGGACAGTCGAGTTCCTCAGTGCCTATGAACTCCCCTAACATGTGTTCGTTCTGACCATAGAGAGGTTCCAAATATGGATGTGCATCTTTACAGTACATTTGCATTGATCTCTCTATATTCCTCTGCTCAAAGTCCTCTGGTTCCAAATGAGGTGCCTGAATTGTAGCTTTCGGAGCCATGGGCGACAGAGGCACTGGGACAAAGCCATGGTAAACAACCAAAGGAGGGCTCAAGACCTCCATAGGGGATGCCTTAGGGACAGCACCTTCTGGTGGCTGGACTGGCAGCTGCACATAGCTTCCTGTTTCAGGATCAAAGAAGGTTTTCGTCTTGACTTGTACAGGCACGTCTACAAAAAAATACTGTCCTGAGTCTGGATCCTGGAGCAGCTTACGTTGGGTCATGGGGAAGGACTGCGTAACGATAGCATGCTCCATGCTAGACTGTCGAGACAGCTGGCTGGTGTGGCTTGATTGGCGGGATAGGGGTGAAGGGCGAGGTACTTCAGTGGCATATGCATCAATACTGTGGCTCCGTCTCAGAGGGTTGTCTCTGTTAGACTTGTTTCTGGCTCGGCCTCTCTGCTGAAGCTCATCCATGATGGATTTCTCAATGCGTTGGGTTCTGGGATCAAGCTTCTCATTGACCGGCATGTCGGCGCTGAGTCTGCGCTCGGCTCTATCTCCTAAATGCCGGTCAGTGCTTTGTGTTCGATGCAAAGCCCTGTCTGGCACTTGTTTCTCACTGATGTGAGCTTTGTAGACGGGCACGTTACTGATGATCCTGTCGCTACTGCAATGTCTTTGCTCTGTCTTATCTCCAGTGTGTCTGCGGCTGCTGCGGCCTTGTCTTTCCGATGCCATACTGGGTAGGGCTTCTCTCCTCTGGTTGTTACTTTCCAATGATTTGTGATCCTGTCTCAGAGTCTCATGCTTGACTTCTGATTTGTTGCAGCTGGGACTTTCTTTCTTGTTTAGCAGTTGCTCACACTGGCTGTTGCTGTTTTTACTATGGTGGCTTCTGCTGTGATCGTCCTCAATTTTTCCTCTGTGTTCTTTCTCGCTCCTCCTGCCATTTCTGTTACCAGTGCTGCTTTTGTGCTCAGACTTATCAGCCTTGTGTCTTTCTGCTCTGTGTTTGCTACTGTTGCTGCTGCTTTGAGAAGACCTGTGAGGTGACTTTTGGGCCTCTTCTTTCTTTATCCTTCTATTTGCAAGCTTGATTGCTTTTAGAACTGCCTTTTCCGATTTAGGTAGGACGGGCGGTGGCTTCAGCAGACCTGTTTGACTTTCATTATCAACGCCACTTTGGCTGAACCCCATTGTCGTATCATATTCTGTCAGCCCAGCATTTAACACCGTCTCCTCAGATGTGTCAGCTGTGCTGGTGGTTAGACTTTCCACTCCTTCTGATGATGGGCTTAACCCGGAAAATCTGTCTTCCTCCTGTGGCACAGTGAGGAACCCTCCAGCTTGTGACTTCTGTGGGTTTTCATCTTGAAGATCTGAAGGATAAACCAGCTGGGGTGCTGACTGAATCGATGTCATCTCTGTAGGCGTAAGAATGTCTGCTAGAATTACGGCCCTCCCACTGGTGGTAGCACTGGATTCATTAGCCAGTGTGAGCTCTGGACATTCCTTTGCATGATGTAGCTCATCCTCTCCCCTCTCTGAACCACTCAGACTCCCTCTGGGTGACCAGGGTTGTATGCTCTTCCTTAATTTGTTACTAAAAGTGTTGTCTTTTACTTTAAACAGGGAAGGGATCCCCAAGGTCGGTGAGAAAGTATTAACAGGTGACAGAGTTGCTGAATTACTTTCATTGTTACTTAATCTTTCATCTGTATCTGCATCTTCTCTCTCTTTGCTAGCCTTCCATACTTCCAGCTCTTGTTGAGGAGACTTTACGGGTTGCTTTATAGCATCTGGCTCGCTTTCGTGATCACTCAAAGAATAATATTCCACTTCTGCCCTGTCCGAATCGCCTCTTGTGTTCCGCGAAACATTTCGCACTGCCTCGTTAACCACCTTCACCTCTTCAGTTACATTTTCACAATTTTGGAGTGTGCTCTCCACAGAGAAGTACGAGGATTTCGAGGACAAGCTGGCCTGATCGGGCGGGCTCTGAGTTACACTAACACCATTCACCAGCAGCAAGGGCGATATTATGTCTCTGGGGATTTCGCTATGAGCTTCTGAATCCACATTTTTATCCTCAATCGGTTCATGTATTTTCGTAGGTTCTTCATCCATTACTACATTCTTAGTCACCGTCCCATCTGCTGTGATTAAATGATCTGGTTTTAATGGGGCCTTTCGCTTTATCCTGCATGC